GCCATTCGAGAGGAAAAGTAGTTTTGGTGCTTATTTACTAGAATTTGTTATATGACTGTTATCAATACGTATTGTGTGTAGAATTTGATCCAATGAGGACAGTCCTCCTCGTCTACCCAAATAAATAATTGGAATTAATTTGGATAAAGTTAAATAACTAGCACTCAATCATGATGTTTTTTTTTAATTTCATTAAAACATCTCCTGTAAAGATAATTTGGGTCTTAATGGGTTAATATTTTCCTTTTGATTTATTTATTTCATGTGGCATTTTTCATCAAATATGAAAACCTTAACTACTCCCTTTCACGGTACCCATAATTCTCACATCTGCTTGATCAATTGCTTACGACAGTTAGATTTCTGTAGAGTGATAAATTTTCATTTTCATATAATACGGCGTCAAACGTAGGGACACAAGGATCTCTGATTGTTGGATTGGAAAGATCGCACTTTGCAACGAAATGAAGATTATGGAAATATCGCATGCTTAAATTATGACATTATTATGAAGCGCTCTGCAGTGAACAAAAGACGCGTTGTAATTGAAAATGAATGTTTCAAAAAAAATGACACAATGTAAATTGAATTTTATCACAACTAGTTTCCCTGAATTTCCCTTCTTCTGAGATAGGTAGCAGCAACGCGTGACGGGTAAGCTAGTTCTTTATACTACTAAACCTGTAGTGTGACTCCCCCCTCTCTCCCGAGAAAAATTGTGAGTGCGCCTCTGGCCTGAATGCATCCTTTAAAATGATTTTTCTGTGTTGTCAGTACAAGTCTGTCACCACAAATATAACGCACCTTCAGCAGAAAAGTGTTATAACTCAAAACATGTGATTTTTCAGAAGAGCACTTTAAAGGTTTAAAACTAGATAATGAAATCAAGTTGATGAAGTAGGATAATGTTTTCTTTTCTTTTCAAATATCATGATTTGTTTATAGGTATACGTGGAAACAATGTATTTAAAATGTTTATAATTTTTTAGAAATATTAGTTTTTCAAACGAACGACAGTATTCTAGTAGGGCATTTGGGAAAAGTGGCTTCAGAATACAATACATTTACACTTACGACAGTTTTCTGCAGAAATTGAAAGAGATTTATTGTCTGAATGTTACAATAACTTTTTCGCAGTACAGAAAACTCCTAATTATTCGCGTAATAAGATGACACGGCAATCGCGGATAATCGACTTCTTCTGAAAAGCCGCAAATCGGAGGAAAATTATTAAAATCTACACAAAATTGCACATACGCATGATATATCAAAATATTTTTGGGTGGAAACTAACAAATTTACTTTTCGTACTTGACCTTGATGATTTTCAGAAGAATTAACACTTTCCCTCGTGAGGTGAAGCAAATACTTTCTTCCTTAATGAAACCCATTCATTTTTCTCTACGACATCACAGCGCGACTCTGCCTAACACGACTTAAAAATTACCAGGAATGGACAAGCTAATTTTTAGACCGACTTGCGATCAATGATAATAATTCTGGCTAATATTACTGAAAAAAAACTGTGACATCTAAGTTATAAACATTCTTTAAGCAGAAAATCAGCGTAGAAAACTGGCGTAAGTAGTACACTTCACTCCTAAGAATATCCGTTAAGCATTTTAATGCGCTGTAGAAAACTAGCGTAACAGGTGCACTTCAAATTTCATAAAATTTACAAAATGGAAAACTGAAACATCGTCCACAATTATTAAATACAGGCCAAAAAAGAAATTACACCTTTCGAGGATGAAAGGGCATAACATTTCACTTTAAGTAATGTATTTAACTAAAAATTCACTTTTTGAGTTACGACACTTTACTATTGGGGGTGCGAAAGACAAACGGACAATATTGTTAATCTAAAACGTCAATACTTAAAAAAATACTCTCGCAAACACTCAAATATCCCAAACTAAAAAAACGCTTGTATGCGCGGAACTCACAAGGTGTCCTGAACATCTTGAAATTGAACATTTTGCAGTCTGAACTTCATCAAAGGGTTTCGCATGTAAGCTTCATCCTTGTAAGTGTCTTGGTCAGGTAATTCACCAAGTCTTGCTAAGTTGTCGGGGTCTTTCACTATAGCCTGTATCCACCTTCTATCACACATTTTTTCACAAGAAATTAATTATTTTCTTGTAGTTAAATATTTTGATTTTTTCCTCTGAAAAGAAAACAAACAAAACAGTCGAATTACTTAAATTGTAAATAGTGACCATATCAATAATTGTTTCCCTGACAAAAGTAAAGTAAATGTTTTGTGAAATGAGCCTTGCCGGCCATTATTCTCAGAGACACTTTTATAACCAATTTCAGTGATATTACATTATTCTTTACTTTCAAACATTTCTTCTCTTTGCCGAATCTCCCACATTTTAAAAGAAAAAATAATATTATACGGCTTGACCTTAGCTCACATGTAAAAAATCTTACCTGAACGCACGAGAACCCACGAAAGAATGCGATGTTTTAAACTCTTAAAGTTTCGAATATAATTAATGCTGAACCCGTGCGGAAACTCCGCACTTCGTAAATAATTATTTTAAAACTGCAAATTGTTGATAGCAGAACCCAACTTTGAACGACCAGTACCTGAACTATGCATTACTGTATTATAGATCCGGTACTGTGTGAGAGAAACCATTATACTATTGCTTATCGTTGAAATTAAATTACACAGGAAATCGAACAGTCCCTTTCATTTTATTTTGAAAGATTATATCTGTTGCCTTCATTTTAATTATATATACATTTCAGGATTCTACACTTCACTGAACACTCATAGCGGGGGCACCCAAAATAATTAAATACTTAAAAATGTATTAAAAAGTTCGGAATGGTCTCATTTTGTAGAATACTGCTTAAGAACCGTATTTCGGATCCCACATGTCCCCATCTGACCTCCATCGTTCCTTTTCTTTTAACTTCACGTCTCCCATCTGACCTCCAACTTTCCTTCATTTTTCTCACATGTTTACTATCCGTTCCTACAAAACTCGTGTCCCTATGAGAACACGAAAACCTGGTTAAGGACTTAGGAGGCGACATTTCCAAACTACACGCGAGTATAATGAGGGTCCCAATAATCCATTTTGTATCTCGTATTCTACATATTTTTCTCGTCTTCAATTTGTTGGATTGTGGGTCTAAATTCGTATGTAGCAACAGCTCACTTGCCCTGTTTTGTGGCAATGGTTTTGTTATAAAATACCAAAAACTATCCTTAGCATATTGTAGAGAGAGAGGATATTATCTTTCATAGATTATTTTCATCATCGATATTTGTTTTGAAGTATTCTCTATTTACCTACTATAAATTATTATAATGTCAGTGTACCTTCTCTTAATAAATAAACAAGACATGTTACTGTGGCTATTTTCTATTTGTTCTAAATACTTTTCGATACCAATATCGTCACTCTAGAGGTTATAAAGAAAAAAATGAAATAGTTTGAAAGTAATGTTACAAAAATTAAATTGAATCAAAAGATAAACTAAATAGGAGTACGAACAGAATTTCGAAAAGTTTAATATGTATTTCATGTTTCTAAATTGTACCTTATCAATTGAAATAAAGAAATGGGAGGCCAGTCCGGCCTAAATACGTTCTTCCTATATTCCCACAAAAATAGCTTTACAAAGCCAAACAAAGGCCTTGGAAATGATGAGAGCAAGAAACACTGCGCCGAAATCGGGCGCAATTCTCTGTGGCACAAATAACAGGCGTACGTCTCTGTGGCTCGGAATTCACAAGATATTGCATAATTTGAGGAGGAATATTACTCCATTCTCCTCGTAACGCTGTCGTCAATTCTGCTTCTTCTTCTTCTTCTTCTTCTTCTTCTTCTTCTTCTTCTTCTTCTTCTTCTTCTTCTTCTTCCTCTTCTTCCTCTGCTTCCTCTTCTTCCTCTTCTTCTTCAGAAAACTCCATATTCTATCAGATTGAGGTCCAGAGAGTAAGGAGGAGAGTGTAATAGTTGTTCTGGTGTCTTGTACAGTAACCACATTTTCGTATTGAAATCAGTGTGCTAAGGATCATTCTCCTGTTGAAATATGTAGGCTTGTCCTAAATTCATTGAAGTAGCACTGACTAAATAATTTCTTAAAGTATAATGTAGTTAAAGCAGTTCATTATAACATCTATGAAGTGCAAATTCCCGCCCGACTTTTTTTTTTTTTTTTTTTCCCCTCCACAGTAACCCTGTGAAGAGGGGGGAATTTATTGTCTATGAATGTTTTTATATTATGCTGCTGCCTTGCGGCTTAAGCAGCTACAGGCGGGGCTTTTTCTTACGACTAACTTACAATCTAGACCTATAGTTATCTTAATTGCACTTTGGCATTACTAACTTACACTAAAATCATTTTTGTAGTTCTATTTTATTCCATTCCCGACTCCATTTGCATACATACCCCCCATACTAAGACCGAGCCCAATGAAGAGAGCAAACAAGTTACAATAAATTTATTTTTGTTCCTCTTAATTATCTGATGTCTAAAACTCGAATCAGAGTTATTATTGTGAAGAGAACAGGTGTCCAATCACTGTTTACATTAATTGTAGATATTCTATCCTTTGCGCCAATAGACAAAATAGTTTCAACTTCGAAGAGTGCATTAAAAAATGCATCAACAAATCACTCTCAAAGCCAGAGCTTGGAGAAGCCAGAAGATAAAGCTTTCGATTACTCGTGTTATCTTCCTGATATTATATCTTCGTCGTAGTTGCAATATCAATGATGTTTTACTATATCAATCGATTCTATGTAATAAGCTTTTCAGATGAACTACAAAAGCGCATGTATGTGCCAACTTGATTAAACAAATATAATGAGTTCATTACTATTTTTTTTCGAATTCGAACTAAAGACTAATTGTTATTCAGTCTAGAGAAGATAGACCTGTCTAGCGTCTGTAAACCTCTTCGATTGCCTAATTTCTGTTCAAGGATTCCGACGCCGCCTTTCGAAAGATTTCACCTGCAGCCATTGCGCCATGAAGGTTGGCAGCAAGATGTGTCAGTGATCTCCGTCTGCGAGTTAAGCGGAGGTCTATTTGAGGCGAATTGAGGTGTGCGAATTGTGGTCGATTGATTTTCCAGTGTTTTATAGGGCGGTTGGCCCATAAACGAGGTTTCAAAGCGTAATTTATTCTCTTGCTAGCAAGCAGTCACGTCTGAGTTCGTGTGATTATTTTTTTCACCCATTTACATCAGAATGGGTGAACATGGCAATACTTGTCAAAAAATGACAGTGCCCGAGGCCCAGGAAGAATTTCTGAGTATATTGCGACGCATGAACGATGAAGAAAATCTGAAGAAACTACTCAGTTGGATTCATTGGAATTGGTTGAACTGTAAGCTAAGTTATCGTTGTCTCTGTTCCGCAACGATAACCCTACTTTTTTACGTATATCATTGCATTCAACGTTGTGTTGTCTCACGCACGTGTGTTTTTTGAAGCCTGCACACCTCCTTCGAAGAAAAGAGAACTTCCCGATGATGTGCTGAGTGCTATTGCGGATGATATACGAAGTGAATTACCTCCAGATGCAATTTTGCCTTCGGAAACAATTGTCACATCAACGGTTGGGCCAGTATGTTCTTTTTTTCTTTACGTTGTATGTTTTATTTGTTTAATCTGAACGATGGACCTTTCTCGTTATTGAGAGAATGTAAGAAATAAGTACTGTAGCTCTGTATACAAAACAATTTCTCAATGTAATTGAGTTAAATGGTTAACTTAACTGAGTAATTGTCTCTTTTTTTTTTCTTTTCCCAAATAAATAGCAGTACCAAAGCTTATTGTCTTTGCTTAGAATATTTTTGTTTGTTCTTTTGTTGCATATTGAGTTTGGAGGTTTTCTTAGGAGTGGTTACTCTTTTCTTGTTCGGTTACATTGAATTTTTTCAAATTCCATACTCTGTAACCCTTGTTACACCACCATTTATTTCTACCATAAAGCACCGAATAGGTCTTATAGGCTCAGGAATACAGCTTATAATATTTTCAACATAAAACGGTATTAATTGTTTTCCCTTGATATTGTATTTAATTGGCATTGTCTGGTTGTAATGCTTTTTAAACCTGTTTTTGCAATTTATAATTAGTTTTAGATAATATACTTTTACTTCAGAAATGTTGGATAGCAGAGTTTTAAATATTTTATTTAGTTTGTCAAATTCTCGTTCCAAGTCATAAGAATTGGAAATAGTTGAAAATTGAACTACTTTTAGTTGGAGTGTTTTGAACATGTCATGTTTCTAGGCACTGTATATTCTTTTATCAAAGTTTGTTAATTTGATGATTTTTTTAAATGTATAAACGGCAGAAATGGAGAGGACATTTTTGTCTTCTTTGTTTTTCAATTAAACTTTTAATGCATTGTTTTTTTTTCCATGGATGTTTTGGGTGTGCACTTAAGACCATCATTTGAAAAGCATAACTTTGGTGCAACTATTAATTGACACACCAGTTTGCATACAAATAATAACCTGCTTTTAGTTAGGTTTTGCTATGATCAAGGGTGCAACAAGTAAATTGTTTTGCATGAAAACATTCAGAAAATTGTAAAAAATGAGCAAGGTCTTACTTCATTGTATTGTTTAGCAGTTTGCTATGGTGCCTGCCCTTCGGATTGTTTTGTTACCTCAGTATAATATGACTTCCCAATTCTGTTTTCATTCAGCTATTTTGTGTCCTCAATAAACTGTACTGAGGAGAACAAGACTTGTGTCGAGGAAACACCAACTTCCTTAGTGTAAACCAAATACAGAATTGTACTTTTCTGCTGATGATTTCACTTGCTAGGTTTTCTGGAATATCTCCCCAATTTGGATGTAACCCTGTGTCTCAACGATAGTGTCAATTTTCCAAGCAAACTTCTTTGAGAACTACACCCTAGTAAAGTAAACATTAAAAACTGTAATCCACTCAAATTCAAAAATGTTTAGGTGAGTCTAAGAAACTCGTATGGTGCAGAAGTGCAACTTTCAAATATTTTGAAATTTGTGGGAAATCTAAGATTTAATGGCAAGTTTATTATTAATAGCTGAAAGTTTATGAAATTTGTAATGTAATATGTAGATAAATATTTTAAAAAGTAGGTAAAGTTATAAAATTTAATATGTCTGTCGGTCTGTTACTTGTGTGGTGTATTGAAGAATTAAAGGAAACATTTATAAAAGTATGTTGAAGGTCAGTGGTATCCTTGGGAAATTTGAAAGTCAATCAAAAACACTCATTTATTTAAATTGGAATTATTTTATTTCAATGAACTGCATTATAACCACAGTGTTTCATAACTCGGTATGGCCACATTATGGGGTAGTTGCAATCCATTTACGTAGTTCATTTTGAACAAATTAAGGTTGGGAACAGATGAATGTCAACATGCATGGCAATTCGGCAAGACTGATGCAATGCTTTTACATTCTTAATTAAAAGCAATCCAAGATTATCTGTATGATATGTTGTAGGGCAGTGGTATTCTCAGGATATTTAAAGATTAATAAACTCCTTTATTTAGAACAAATATTTTATTATAAACAAATTCACCAAAACCATGTTGCAAAATAAAATACAGTTGTATCATTGTTTGAAACCAAGCCGTTATAATTAAAATTGTTTCTTTATTGATAAAATGTTAAATAAAAATTAGTTAAAAATTCAAGGTTAAAAACAATATACAAAAATAACAATGGTTAAGTACAGTAAAAACACAAATGGTATATAAATACATAAGTGTGAAGCACAAGTAATACTTCAGTCAGTTAGAAAAACTCGTATTAATTAGTAATATGTAGTGCAATGTTCTCAAGTTTATAATCACTCCCATTTTGAGTAGAAACAATAATTTGAAACTTTATTTTAAAAAAATGAAATTACTTAAAAAAGAATGATCAAATTTGGTTTCTTCGGACTCAAAAAATTGAAGTCTCTTATTTATTGTTCTTAATTTGAGAAAATGAATACTCCCTTGAAAACAACTTAACTGACATCTTATTTGATATGTTAATGTGTTAAATAGTAATTGGAGAGACTACACCACTATACATAGGTAATAAATATGTTACTATTTTAAACAGTATTGAAGCAAAAACTAGTTTAAAATAATCTTCAGTCTTGCCAACATTAGGTCTGAGGCCTTTTCCGATCTCACCATCTCTTCCTCGGTCTTTCCACACTTCTTTTGCCATATGGACTATATTCCATTGCTTGTTTTGGAATCCTTTCTGGTGGCATACGAAGGAAATGCTCTCTCCATTTTTCTTTATGGTGGATTGCCATTTCGGGTTTTGATTGCATCCCCAGTTCATTCCTGATTGCTTCATTTCGGATTTTGTCTTCTCTGGTGCAACCTTTAACTGACCTAAGAAATTTCATTTCTGATGCTTCTAGCTGTTTAAGACCTTGCTCTTGAAAGTCCAGGATTTTGCTCCATAGAGTAAAGTGGGGACTGCCATGACCTTGTAAAATTTTAATTGGTTTCTTTTCGTGTTCTGGTTTTTAGAGTTCTAATTGTGCTACATATTTGTTGATGTATATTAATCTTATTCTTTATATCTTGGTCTTCTTCATTAGAGATGTCTCAGTCCAAATACTGAAAATGAAACACCTGTTCTTTTGGTGTGTCATTTACAACTATTTATTGTTCTTATTGGATAAATACCTGAAAGGGCCATTGTTCTGTTTTTTGTTTAAGATATTTTAAGGTCTTAGGTTTGACTTAGTTCGTTAACACTGTGTAGGACCATTTGCAATTTATCCTCGCTGTCTTGTATGATTATATAATGATTAGCAAAAAGCAAGGTGTTAATATATGTTTGGTCCGATTTGAATACCTGGTGGTATTGAGTCTCTTTTCCGTGCTCTAATCACATCATGTATATAGATGTTGAATAGAGTTGGTGACGTACATCTGTCTTTCACTCCTTGATTTGTCTGTATTTTAGATGTTAATACTTTACCAGCATCGGTTCTAATTCTGGTTTTATTATACAGACTATCTGACACCTGGATCAAATGATTAAGGAATACTCTTTTTTTCCAATATATGCCATAGCTCATATCTTTGGATCCTATCAAATGCTTTCTTAAAGACCACAAAGGCAGGGCGTGTTTCTAAGTTACATGCTCTACACTCTTGTATTATTTGCTTTGAAGCAAAAAAATAGTCTGTCATGATCTTCACTTGTGGAATCCTGCTGTTCTTCTATTAACATTGTATCAGAGATATTTCAAAGCCTTTCGTTGACTATTTTAATGTAAAGCTTGTAGGCTGAATTTAGAAAACTGCTACTTCTGTAGTTAGGTGCATTTCTTGTTTCTCCTTTCTTAAATATCAAAATGATCTTTGCTATTTTCCATTCATCTGGTGTTTCAGAACTTTCACAACATGTCGAAAAGATGAAGCATTGTGAATTCTAAAAGCATTCCTCCATATTTTATCATTTCAGAATTTTTCATCCAAACCTGGAGATTTTTGATTTTTCCTTTTTTTAAGGACAATCTTTAATTCATTTGATTCAATATAATCTACTCCTAGCAATTGCACCTTATCAGCTATTTCGAATGTACCACAGTTGTTTATAGTGTTTTATCCAGTCTTACCTAGTTGGTATTACATTAAGGTTCACAGTTTCACTCCCTTTTCTGTTTAGATGTTTCATTAGTTTGAATGCTAATTCTTGCCTCCCATGGACATCATGTTCCACTCTGCTTATGAACATATCCCATGATGTTCTATGTGCTATTCTTTCTATTACTTTTGTTTCGGTCCTGATTTTGTGGTATAATTCTTTAGCTTCTATTGTTTTCTTTTGTAAGTATTCACTGTAAGCTTTCTTTTAATCTTTAATGTCTTTTTGTATCTCTTCATTCCAAATTTTCTAGCATAACCTATTTTGGATGTGATATTTAAGGTGAATGAAATATAATTCTAGTGTTTTTATTGTAACCATGTCTATACATATTGTTTAAACAAAGCATATTTTAGATTTTAAATATTATTTGCACGCAAAATTAAATTAGCATAGAACTTCAAACAAGTAAATACAAAAATATAAAAATACAAATATACATTCACAAATCAAAAATGATTAAGAGAGGTAAGAACTGCTCTTAATTTTTTCATTATAATTGAAGATTATGTATATTTCCAAATTATTTTCTGAGAACTTTTATCAACATTATCTTTTATCAATTAATATGTTTTAGACAGGAAAAACTTAGTTCTACATTTACTAGTCTGTGTGCCGAACCTCACTCTTGACGTACATGTGCACGCTGCTAATGTGGTCAAAAACTGCGTTCCTTCTTTCTTGTACCTCACAGGGCAACATCTATTCCTAGAAATTTGATGAATTTGAAACGCAGTGCAGCTTGTTATGCCAGGTGTAGGGTCAAATATGACGCATGCATGCCATCTCGTGTTGGTAAGTTCAGCGAAGATTACAAAAGAATATCTGATCGGATTGAGAAGATAGACCCCGAACATAGCATTCGCTGAGCGGCCCTAACCCAGGGCCAATGCTGTAATAACTTAGAAATTTTAATTGGACAATGGGTTTCATGAAAGGTACTGGCACTCGCCTTTTCTTAAATGAAACCATTAAAAAAGATATTATTTTCATATTTTCAACTTTATTTAATATATTTATGAAAAAAAAAACTGTGAATCTTGCAAATTCGTCCATTAAAATATCAAAATGTGCAATTTTCAGCCAGCATTATCAAAAACACGCGATATTGTGCAGTTTCATGTAAAATAAAACAAGTATTAAACCAACGTCCATTTCATGATTCATATTTCTGTTTCATCAGATATGAAATTAGCAAAGAAAAGATGCAGTAACACAGGAATCCAGTGTTTATTTATTATTCTTATCAATTTGTTAATCGGTAGATCTAGTAGGAAGCTCTCCTGCTTGCTTTTTAGCATTACACAATTTATTATAAGCAAGTATTATTTAATTTTAATATGTATCAAATTATTTAGAATGCAATGAAAGAAAAATATTGAAGTAGTTTTTTGAGAAAATGTTGGTTTTTAAAGTGCCTTTTATTTCACTCAAAATTACACAAAAACTAATTGCAATTTCAAAAAGTTGTATTACATGTAATTCCAACCTTTAAAGCAACAATTTTATTTTTTTTAAACTCTTATCTTCAATATTGTAGTTGTAGGAAAACATCATCTATTCAACTACCAAAATTCAACATTTGGATTTTTTTGATAATCCAGAGAAATCAATGAAAATTGGATGTGTGCAATTTTTGTGTGTACTTTCTTCTATGGGAAGGAAACAATTGGAGTGATTTTTTAAGAAAATGTTTTTGGGGTTTCATTTGAAGTATCCGTGAATATCAAAATTTTAGTCTCAAATTACAGGGTCTGTGACATTATCCAAATTGATCAGAAATTATCAATTTTGGTGAAAAATCCTCTTTTTGGTTTAGTCGTTAGCATTGATTAAGACGTGCAGACAGATTTGTTGCTGACAACTATTTTACTGTATCAAGGTCCCAGAAAACATGAATTTTGATTACACAGCATGATATAAGAAGTTATTTACAACGTGTTTGGTATCGGAGATCCATAAAACTATTCCTTCTGTCAAAGATCACTTGTTTTTGCTTCAGCATTACAGGACCCGATACTACACAAGTGATTTGCGAAAATCTTTATTAAACAGAATACATATGAATTTAATGCAATTCGCAGAGGCACAAGAGATATTCTTTATGAAATGAATGTATCTGCATGTTTACTTTAAATTATCTTTCCCTGTGACACACAATTTAGTCATGGCGGCCACACAGTAAAGGAGAGGGGTTTCAGTAGTACACGTAGAATCTGACATTGGGGGTCTATTGTTTGTCAAAGCGTAGGCTGTAAGAGGATTCCCTCTCTCCAGACTGTCAGAGTCAGTGAAGGTGTAAGGGCATGGCTGCTATTCATGCACCTGCCTGCTTCACATGGAGAACCATAACCCCTCAGGCCATGTGAGTGTATCAGAAAGACATAGTACTTTGGGCTGTGATGCATTGTGCGTTGAATGAGTTTATGAGCAGTCTGGCTGCAGCCACTAGGCAAGAAGGTGGTGTGTATTTTTGAGATTCACTACCGGTTTAACAGGGGTTGGAAAAAATGTAAAACCTTGGATAAAAAAGTCAAACATATCAAGCAAATGAAACTTGAAAGCTTTTAATGAAAAAAGTTTAATATTCCTTTATTGGTGATTTCTTCCCTAAATATGTTATTTTAATGTATTTCAATCATTGTAATAAAGTCATGAAATTTGCTGGTTTGAGGACAGAAATATCAATATCACAAGTGTTAAAAAATGGACAACCCTGCATAAAATAGAAACATTCCTAAACCATTAATTTTAGAGTAACTGGTAGGAAAATGTATTTAAATAGTTGCTTTTAAGGCAAAATGTTTTTGAGAGGCACAAAGTATAAGATAAGAATGTACATTTCCTAATAACTACATTTTAATATAATTCAAGTATAATTAATCATTTCTTTTTTGCTTTCATACAGAATTCAGATTGTGATCCCAATCACTCAATTCATGTGGATGCATTTCTTTATGATGATGAAATGGTAGATAAACTCTGTGATGAGGGACAAATTCCAAGGAGCTATTGTTTGCAATGTGGTTCACGTAAAACTAAACCTCTAAGTAAGTAGTTGTGAAATGTCTATAGTGTATTCGGTTGTGATTGCCTTTATTGCACCTTCACATTATTATGAACTCTCATTTCATTAATGCCTGATGTGTTGATTCGATATGAGAAGAGTTTGGTTATTTTGACTTTTCTATGATGTCTGTAGCAATATTTGTACAAATAAAGGGGCCAGCTCCTTTGACTTTTAGATTTGAGGAGGTAGGAAATATTATTGGTATCTAGTCTTTTACACAAAAATATGTTTCTTAAAAAATCTGTGAAAAATATAGTAGTAAAATGCTTTGAACAATAATTACCCTGTTACCATAAAATTAGTCATTGAGCTTTACCATTTTTATTCAGAATTCAATTTTATAACCTTTAAATCATTTCATATAATTCATTAATTTTTAATTAATAATTTAGATTGACACAGGAAAGACAAGCAATTACCACATTACAAATAGAGAAAGCTTTACATTGCTTACAGGAAATATATGGGTTCAAATACATCAGTATACAAACTCTATGGTGCTATTACACAACATTTTTCAAAATCTTGAACCTTGCTTCTGGGAAAAAGAAACTCTCATTACCTATAGCGAGGTCAATATCAATTTTAATCACCAATCAACATACTCCAAAGATAGAATTGTTATCCCAATATCAACGTTATGCATTTGTATGCTTCATAATAATTATAATAATAATAATAATAATAATAATAATATCAACAATAAAACTGATGATATATGGGAAGCTGGTTGCAATCTGGAGTAATTTTATATTCAATCGACTCACATCTTTAATCATGAAGTAAAGTAATAACAATAACAATAATTATCATAGCAATGATAACAGCAACAGTAATGACTAAATTAATTTTTGTTTGATTCCTTCAGCATACTTCTCTCATTCTGCTTCAAGGGAGAGAATAAATCTTATGTTCAATGCTCTACTCCCTCCAATTGATGGTAAAGTTGTTCTGGATATTGGGTCAAGACTTGGTGGCATTTTATATGGGGTAAGTATATTGTTAGTTTTGTTTATTGAATAGAGGAGTACAATGCAAAGAGACAGTGGTGTATTGTATTGTGGAACTGAAGATGGAAATTCTACGAAGCTGAACACTCTTGAAATATGTTAGTTGCAGAGTGAACGATGACTTTGATAAGTAGTGAGGTACTTTTGTGACTAAATCTTGACATTATACTAATTCACTTGTTATATGTCCAAGGAATGCATATGAATTATTTGTAGGAAGTCCAGGCGTCATGTAGAGTAATCCCTCAATGTTTGCGAGAGTTAGGTACCCAAAAAATATCACAAATGTTAAATCAATGAATGTTGAGTGTACGTTATAATGAAGGAAGATGTGTAACACATTACATAGATGAAGCTCTTCTTATGTTTCTAACAATAAATGAAAAAATCCTTGACAGTCCTGTGTTCAAAGAGCACAGGTTCCTGAATATCAAAAAACTGTTTGAAAAGGAAAGAAAAATCTGACAAACAATTACAGAAAAATTCGGTTAGCACTACAACAAAGAGAATTCACAAATTACAACCCAAAATTCGAACCTTGTTTCAAAGTTGAAAATGATTCGCCATAGCATTTGGGTGATTTTTGTTTGTTTGAACAACCTCTTCATTTTCTTATTCTCCAAATACGGAAGAGTTGCTGCTTCTATTTCTCTCTTAAATTTCAAAGTAATTTTTAAGTTTGGGTTGCATTTGAGTGCCCTTTCCGCAAGAGCTTGTTGAAGTTCTAAACTTCATTAATAGTTTTGACAATGAAGTTGCTCCAGAACACAGTTTTGCTTCCGTTTCTTTATCAGCACATTGGAGAAGCTTTTCCTCACCGATTTCCCAGTGCTTCTCTCCTGTGATTAAAGTATTGCACAAATCCTAAATGGATTTCCTGTTCATGTTGTTAAAGCCCTACTTCCTACCTTTTTTTCGCACTAGCAGATGTTGAAGTCACTAATGTCAAAATCTGTAGGATTTCCCTAATCATGAATGTTCAAAACTTATGAATAGCGAATTCACAGTTATTTAGGGATTAGTGTACTACCCTAGTAGTACTCTTCTTAATGATGATTTTTAATGTCATCTTCCAATTTTAATACTTGTCAGGCATGAACTCAAGAATATAAAATATTTTAAATGTCTTAAAAAAAATAATTTCTCTAGATTTAATATATGCCCAATAGTAGAACATATTTTGTACAGCCTTCATGTGCATTACAGAATTATATACCTTATACTGTGTGAGAGTAACCATTATAATATTACTAGCATTGAGAATATATTGCTTGAAAAATTAAATAGTTTTTTATTTTATTAGAAAATATTTTTTTCTGTCATTTTTCTTCAATTTTATATAGATTTTTAGGTTCCACATTTTTCTGACCAACCGTTCTCTTGAATAGGGGTCCTGAAAAGAACTAAATCTAACAGACAATTCAAAAAAGATCATCTTGTAGAATTTTGCTTCAGAATCATAATTTAGGCCCTGCATTTCTCCACATGTCCACTGCCCTGCAACTGCCCTGCCCTGCACCTGTCAGTCTTCATTTTGCCCTCTCTACCCTCCACCTTTTCCACGTCTGTCCTACATCATTTTATCATGAAGGGAAAACCAAAACTCTTGTTACCACAGAACCTTACCAATTCTCACAGAACATGTGCCTCTGTAGAGTGGCAAAGGCTTAGGTGTAGTAGTAAGTAGGATTCATTTTTTCACAATTATTTGTGAATATAATGTGTGTTGCACTGATTTGTTTTGTATATCATAATCTGATAACCTTTTTCTCCCTTTTTAAATTTGGGTTTGGTTTCATGGTTTCTTATAAATTGTGAAAAACCATCATCCATCCCTCGCAAATTAAAAAATAGAGGATTAGAAAGCCATTTCTATTTATTTCAGTCGAAATCTTTAATGGAAGGAAAAGAGACATTTTATTGGAGTGTACCTTGTACTACATCTTGACTTAATTTCCAGATTGAGAAAATAATATAGTGTATGCCAATAATTCTTCTTGAATTTCCTTTTCTGTGAACTTCTTATATATTTTTTTCTTTAAAGAAAAAATGTTAAATGGAAATACAATTATTTAATGTACTTCAAATAAAAGCTGATTGCTCATGAAGTTTAATTTTCAGGCTTTCCTGTACACTAGAGCTGCTAAGATAGTTGGTATTGAAATGAATAGTGATTTCTGCAAGTTGCAGAGAGAAGTTATCAAGAAATATAACTTCCAGGTAAGGTCAACAGACTTCAACTGTTGTAGCAGAAGAAATGCAAACAGTTGCAATCTTGAATGTAATTTGCAACACTTGGATAACTTGTAATATAAAGGAATCTGTGTTTTTTTCCACATTAAACAAGATTCCTCATACAATGTAATATGATAGAATTTTTGTTTGCCAGAACCTTGATTTATATTCACATTTGACAGATTTCCAGTATTCCATATTGAGCAAGTTTGATTGTATTAATTAAGTATTGTATATTAACCTGTTATGTCCATGCTAGGAAAACAACATAAAATATAAACTCTAATAATGTAATATACCATAGCATACGAAAAGAAAATGTAATTTGAAATGTTTTACCAAAGTAAGGTTAATGAATCCTTTCTAAATCTGTTCCAAAGTTGTAAAGCAACATTACTTTCGAGCATTTCATAGTAGTGTTCTTTTTGCATTGTTAGGGTCTTGTCTGCAAATCATCTTTAACTGTGATGTGATTTTTTTCATCATACCTGACACTTGGGACACTTTTCTACAGGTTTGGGTCATCAAGGTGAGAAAGTTCAACATATTTGCTTTCGTTTTTCAACTGCCCAAATTTTTGTTTGTGCAGATTCTCTCATAACATGTCCAATGGCTTTTTCTTGCCTTTAGTTGACAATCTGTATAGCAACCAAGTATTGTTTAATGCATTCAAAGGAATGTTAAAGAACTGCTTCTTACCATGAATGTTGATTCTAGTTCTGGCCACATTTTCATCCAATCTATCTGCGTGACCCATGGACATGTGGTATGCTGATAGTACGTTTTCCTGATGTGTTTCAACAGCTTTCTTCAGAGCACGAATCCATCTTGCCTTGTCTAGTGGAACTGCCCCAGCACAATGGAAGCATCTGTGACTCCATTATTCTCATAGTATTGAACTAATGTTATTCCAGAATTTGTCTTTTACCTGTGCTGATTTTTTTTTTCTTTTTTTTCTTTTCCACTTACTCTCATTACTTTCAGATTATATATAAAGACCCTTGTCTGTGTTGGCATGGAGAGTTCCATGTTATATCCTTGTAGTAAAACGAGTATGGGTAAAGGTATTAAGTAATTTGTCAAATACCAAAATATATTTTATTCCAGTAGGGAGCTTTGTGAGAAAATTCAGAACAAAACACTCACCTAAATCTAAGGTAGGACAAATGTTGCTCATTGATGCCCCCTGACGCAGGTCCTTTTGTAAAATATACCCAAGGCAAGAGAATAAACTCCATGCTTTGTACCCAAAGCTTGTGGGTTTACTATGTATATGTTGCTTTGTTCCATGCCTCGTGCAGTAAGGTATCATGATCTCATCCACACACAATTTGTGTCTTTCTAAAAGTACATCATTGACCTGGAATTCAATCTTTCTCAAAGAGGGCTTACTTTGGAAAAAGTGTTTTTGGGCTGTAAATTATAGTCTCAAATATGTTGTTCATAATTTGAGTAAACAAATTTCTGGGCATAGATTGTAACAGTGTGAACTTTGCTTCAAATATTTATGCGATTGAGGTTATTGCACATATCCAGATATCAGGGGAATGGCCAGGATTTCACAAATTTCCTTTCTAGAGATAAATTCATATTAGGAAAACCTTTGTAAAACCATTAGTTGTTGGTGCAATCTGAAATGAGTTACACTTTATTATTATTATTATTATTATCATTATCATCCATCATCATCATCATCATCATCATCATCATAAAATAACTCAAATATTTGGCCTGGAACCATTTTTTACTATTCCAAGATGTTCAATTGTGCAGAGACTTAATTTTAATTGCTGTCAGTAGGCTCACCTTCAGAGATTTTATTCTTCATTAGTTGCTCAATGTTAAATCTCTTAACTGTACTCAGCATTTGCAAGAAGCTGATATCTTGCCAAATGGCCCATAATTGCTTTACTTTTGTCAGCACTGTCACTATCAAACACAACAACGTTATTTGGATGAGTTATTACTATATCTGTTTTTAAAATATTATCTTACTCTACAAGCACCATTTTTTTGTGAACAAAAAAATTCAAATTACAGTTCTATGTTTCATCCACTAACATTTTTACATGTTTATTATATAGTAATCCAATGGGCCAATTGTGCCCATTGTTCCAATAATAGAACTCCTGAAATGCCTACTGAATCACCAATGAGAGTTTTAACAACAGAAACCTAGTGGTTTACATAAAAGAGTATATATTATTCATAACACAGTATATTAAAATAATATAAAAGCAACTAAAAAACTAAACTTACCTTTTTTCATGGTTGTCATTTCATAAAACATATTACATAGATGAAGCTCTTCTTAGGTTTCTAACAAGAAATGAAAAAACCCTTGACAGTCCTGTGTTCAAAGAGCACAGTATGTCTTATACTACAGGTTTTTAAGCAATATTCGTAATGGCTCTAAAGAATTGGAAAAATAAAACAGTTCCAGTAATGGAACAGTGGGCTTAACTAGGTGAATGTTAATGTTTTCTAATTTATCAAACATACTAATTTCAGTAAAGAGCTAAGGCATTTCTTTCTGTGTTTTAATTAAACTGACTTGTGAGCAATCAGTAAAAATCTTAGAAAAGTTAAACACTTAGATAGCACATAAGTGGTCAGTGCAAGACTTGTTTTGCAGAGCCTGTATTTGGAAAGATACAGGCTCTTCAGGAGAAAGAAAAATAAATACTTCACGATATGACTGCAAGACAGCCCTAAGGATGCAGACTGAACTAAAACTTTGTTTATTGTAGATTTCTAACTTTGTATATTCAAGACATAATGTTAAGAGTAATGCTATAAAATATTCTCCAAAAGATCTTCATGAGAGGGGAATATGGTTGGCAGCTTTCATATCAAGGAAGGATGCATGTAGTATATGCCTTTTAGGAATGTAATGCAACTAACAAGAACTTGGGCGTGTTTACTGGTTTTGTTGCAGGATAGAATAGAAATCATTGAGGACAATGTAATAAACCGACCAGATGTTGTTCAAGCAGCTGATGTAATTATTATGAACAATGTGTTTGAGTTTTTTATGGACTTGGATCATCAAGTTATGATGTGGAGTTTCCTTCAGCAGACTATTCGAAAAGGCACTTTACTTGTGACAGTGCCTCCCCTTGAAGAGACTTTTGCGGATCTACCTGTGAGTATAGAACAAGGATTCTGTACTATAGGCTGATAGATTGGATGTAGGCTCTTAGTGTGAGCTAATTATTTGGCATTATGGTAATTGGCAGTGATTTCTATAATTATTTTAATCAAAAAGTTTTTTGTCTACTAAAGAGTAAACATTTTTAATTTTCACTCTTCACTGCCTTTGTTGTAATAAAACATCCAGATTACAGTACTCTTTCACTACTGTACCAGCACTAGTCAGAGCTGAATTAGCAAAATCACCAAATGACAGGAATGTAAAATAAGTATTGAATAAATTTAAGAATCTAAAAAAACAGAATTAATTTAATGAATGTTAATAATGTAACGCATGTAGGTAATAATAAAACTTCCAGATTACAGTACTCTTTCACTACTGTACCAGGACTAAACAGAGCTAAATTAACAAAATCACCAAATGACAGGAATGTAAAATAAGTATTGAATAAATTTAAGAATCTAAAAAAAAGAATGAATTTAATGAATGTTAATAATGTAATGCATGTAGGTATTGTTTACAGTAAGTGCCTAGTTACAAGATGGCAGAGGACTCCATAATTTGAAAAGTGACACGCTGGTTCCTCTTATGTTGAACAGCCAATAATGGACTCCTACGACAGATGAGCTTTGTCCTTGGCATCTGTTTACAAACATTTTAAAATTTTATTCTTTTTATTTCAAGTTTCCTTTTCTCATCATGGCACTACACTGTTTGATAAAACTTGCTTGAATGCAATTAACAGAGTAGCCAAAGTTGTGATGCTGTGTGTTGTTTGTAACAACACTCACTTACTCAGTCTGCTGAATTTCTGGAAGGACCGGACTAGAAGACGGCCATATTATAAATAGCAAACAGAAATTGATTAGAAAATGTAATATAGCTGATTATTTGGAACTCAAGTTTCAAAACATGATAACTTTTAATTGTTTTATCTCCTCATGATAGGGCAAAGCAGGATATAAAAACTTCATAATATCTTATTACATCAACTATAGTTAATAGAATGATACAAGAACATTGAGATTTGCCAATGTGACCAGTGAGTTGGACACCCACACAAAAACTCCCACCAAACGGGATACAGTCATCATCATAGGAGGGCAGAATGACATCAATTTGGATGGTCTATTTACTCCTGAACATATTGACAAACTACAAAGTGCTGCCCAAAACACAAACATTATAGTCTTGACTCTGCCCTTCTGGTACAACAAACCAACACTGCAAAGAAATTAAACATACAAACAACCAATTGAATCTGCATCTGAGAGACACACATGTTAAATTATTTGAGCTAAACTTTCTCAGAAAAACACTTCGCCTGGCATGGTCTTCACCTGAACCTTGTCGGAAAACATACACTCGGTAGCGACCTTGTAAAACACATCCTTTCACATTCTCAGCAATGTTTTGCCCAACACCCATCACCACCCACATCTCCTAGTTCTCTTCCATCCTCCGGGACCTCTTTGGACCCATTTACCTTATACCCTGAACCAAATCCTTGTACTACTTCTCCCATTATTGATTTATCTACATTTGTCGCCCCTCCTTCATCTCCTGGCACAGCTGGGGCACGATACTTCCTTTAACCACGCGCTTGAGGTAAAAATGAGATAAATAAATTGCAACTACAGTTAAACGCAGCAGAGAATCAATCGTGTAAGTACATACAAAAAATTCAAATAATGTATCACAATGTGCAATCTCTTTCAAATAAAATTGAATTTATCGAGGCAGTGTGATCTAGGTGAAATAATGTTTTTTGCTTTACCAAACATTGGTTGTCTCAGAATGATCTAAACATACTCCAAATTCCTAGTTTTTACCTTGTAAAGCGAGGGAATCAAAAGGGCCTTGCTTATGGAGGTTCGTGATTTGCGTAAGAAATGATATTGATTCTATCTTCTGGTCAGAATTCAATTTATTTGCAGTGTTTTGAAGTAGCATAAAATTTAAATAGTAACAGTGAATAACATAGTCTATTAATATAGAAATTAATGTAATCTTATAAAAATTCCAAAAGATAGATAACAAAACATCAGCTTATGATCACATAATATTTTTTATAGTTAGATAAGAATTATTAAAGTAATATCAACTATAAACATTTCCAAGTATATAGTACATGTTTAGATCTAATAAACTGAAAATATACACCAAAGTGATGATAATTTTAAAAAAAACTGAAATTAAATCAAAATATATTTTTAAAATAAAACAAATCTGATTTAAATCAAACTTTCGATATAATTATTCCCCTTTAGTTCAAAAACTTTTTCTGCAATCTGGAAAAATACTCTCCAACCTTTAACTTTATTTTATTAGATGTTTGTAAGATTCAAAATTTCACTATTGCTGTAACTAATAGCACATTTAATATTAGCTTATCCAGTACTATTTTTGTAACATGAACTAGCAATTTGCAACACAACTCCCATTAATATTAGTATTTAATTAGTACTATTGTAACGGCCACCACAAGAAAAAAAATTCTGAAACCATCAACATTTTCAATTTTTTATGAAAACTTGACTAAAAAGTAATGTTTTTCAGGGTAGTGTTGTTGCCTTGCTGTTTTTGTTTTCCCTAAGCCCAAAAGACTTTACAATATTTCAATATGTAAATAATAAACAAACTTTTTACATGCAAGAAAATTATGTACTTTTTTATACTTTTGATATTAATTCCCACTCAAAATCTCCTAATTTCTTTAAAGATTTCTTTATGCATGTATCCTGTTTTATTCTTCCTTTAAAAGTTTTTGAAATAATTTAGATTACTCACTTTGCTTCTTCAACCTCTGCAGCAACCCCAGGATCAATTGCTTTATCCTCTTCCAAATTAATTTTCCATCTTGTTGAAAAATTCTCACATGTATGTGTACTCTGTTCAAGGTTGTGATCAGATCTCTTTAACAAGAACCATGCTAGTGACAACCATTTCTGTTCAAGCACATTTTATTAAATACTTTAATATGTTAATTAATTTAGGAAATAAGCACTTCTAATATTTAAAGATTTTTCAAACTTTATTATGTTTTAAAACAAAAGTGCTGTTTTTAGATGTAATTTGAATATAAATCCACTTCTTTTCCACTAGGTAGGATGTATTATACAGTCTGGTCAAAATTACATAAACAAATTTTGCATTGCACCTTAAAAGTGTCCATGAGACAATAGCCAGAATATATGAAATGGTCCTATTGACAGCCTGTTTTGAAGTCCTCTTTTGTCACATTAGTCATATGTTTTGCACTTCAAAGCCACAAAAAGAAAAATTATTTTTTATGATGAATTGGCAATATAGAAGAATTCCGGTAATCGGAACTAATGAGGGGTGTGATCTGTTCAGATTCAGTAATGTTTGGTTTATCTGAAAAAAAGAAAGTACAGTTCTTCTACAAATCTATAGGATCACCAAACAATGCAATGTAGCATGTGATGTGAGAAAATGGCATTGTAGCATGGCAATCACATCACATCATCAATCTTGATTCAGTTACTTGGCAAAAAAGGATTACTAATTTTGCAAGTACCTCTAAGTTAAAATTACTGTTACAGAAACATGTGATATACACCACAGTTACCAGAGCAATAAATGTTTCATTTCCACAACTTGTGTTCCAATAATCAGTTTTTCACTTCTACAGTAATTATAAAAGCCTTTCTTTACACTATGAATAAGCATTTTATTTATTTTGTTTACTTTTGCTCCATCCCGAATTTTGTTTAGATTATTCGAAATGTTGGATTTGTAGTTCAGATTAGCAAGGTTCTACTGTAATTCTTTTAACTTTATTGATTTCATAGAATTTCCTTCTGCAATGTGTTCAGGTATCTCAAAGGAAGTTACAAGACTTCATTTAGCTCATGTCCACCTTGCATATTACTGTGCTGTAATGACAAAATTGTGGCCTGTGTTCTGTGTGGAATTTGTAGAAAATGTCTCTTATCTGATTTTGTCATTGTTTTAGGTTAACATCAACTTGGCGGCATGGGTCCAAGAAATGCCACCCTTTAACGACGATGCACCTAATATTACAAACCTTTCCTCGGAATTGTCAGCTGTTAAGAAGTATCAAGTTTTGTAATGGTTAAATGTACTTGGTTCCTGCAATAAAATTTAAGTCAATTGATAGTCTTTTATCTCTTTTTGACTTTAATTTTTGTTGGTTTCCAGAAGCTCATAAGGATCTCCAAATATTGTATTGTGAAAGCACTGATTAATGAATTCATTATCACACGGGTATATGGTACATACTAGCTTATTGATATACACTATACTTAATAGTTGTACGAAATTGAATGGACATCATAGAATTTATACAACTGTTTGGATACAATCTCTTAAATAATTTTCTTAATTCTCCATTTCTTGTAAAAACAAATGTAAATGAATTTGGGTATTGCAGTTACTCCCAAATGTGGCATGTACTATCTGATAAGAGATAGGATGTTGCAAAATAAATAAAATATGAAAGAATAGGAGACAGAATGAATATGAAAGAAAATTCAGAAGCTGTAAGTTTTAATTATTTCTTTTGCAAGTGAAGGAGTCCTTGAGAGAGATAATTATAAGCGATTCAAATGAAGTTTTGATGTGCAGCTCATTTAATGTTTGATTTATGATTTGTGTTTCGGTTGTAACTAAAAAATGGAAATATTAAGGTAAATCAGTCTTTAAAAAAAATGACATTTTTATGTGGAATAAATCTTTATTTCAGTCCCTATGTCAATTCCTGCTTGATCACAGATACATCGCTATTTCTTGAAAGGAGATCATCGATTAATTTTATTGGATAATGTTACCCAAAAATTGTTTCAGAAAATCCCTTTAAATAAATTTTAAGATATACGGTTTTGAACTATTTTTTAACTTGAAAGTCTGTATTACTAATCATTGATTAATGGGAAGTAATTAAGTTGCGGGAAGCTTAAATTGTGCTCTCTGGAACAAAAGTTTTCTGTCTTACAACTATATTCTGGAAATCTACAACAACAAAAATGTTAACATTTAGAGGGTCAAAAAAAACATGTTATCCTGATAAGAAAATAAAGAAAATGGAAATTTTCGTGGAATACTAAGGTGTTTTCTTGCACCTGAAGTTAATACTTAAGACTTTCTTTCAAATTACAGTAAAAATTATTCATTTTGTATTGAAACGTTAAATTTTTTAGAAAGACTAGAATAGCAATACCATTTGGTAACTTTTGAATTAAAGAGTTTGAGACAGTAACAAGATAAGGCACGGCAAATCTCACAATTTCTATGCGTTAATTTCTTGATCTTGGGGAAAGTTTGGCTTATCTTTTTACTTTGTATTTCTTGTTAACATTTAAAAAAACTTGGAGCAGTAAAATATTAAATCATTTTTTGGCAAAAATCAAGAAATTACAGTATTTTCTTGAATATGAGATGATCCCCTGATTTTAAAGAAGCTCATGAGATTTTTTTTATTTTTAACTTATTCTTATTTTTGGTAAAATAAAATTGCTAATTGACTAGAAAAAGGTCTTGTTGAGAAGGTTAAAACTTATTGCCTTAACTATTTCAATTTTCTCGTTCCTTAAAATCGTCATAGTCATGACTTTTGCCACTACCCACTTCATCTTCATGTTTCTTTCATTTTTATCCTTCCATATTGCATTTCCCTCTCACTTTTTACGCTCTCTGAAAGTATTGCACATTGGACTTGCGTTCTTAGTCTTTTTATTCAACGACTCCTAAAAACATTCCCTATGTGTCACCAGTATCTCTTCCTGTCCTGCTTGTGGCCTCTGATTTGTTTACTTTGTACTTGAAATTCACTTATTATTTAATGTTCGTGTGATCAAGTTATGAACTGCGAACTGATTTTCCTCCATTTCACAGATAACATGTGGGATAGCGGCATGTTTTCATGTTTGGAAAGTTTTTGCTAAGAAAATATTTTATTAGACAGCCACTAGTAAAAGGTTCTATAAAGGTTAAAGATAAATTTGGGAATGCAATAAAGAAAACAATATAATTTGTCTGACCACAACAGTTCCTACTTTATCTTCATCCTCATTTTAATGTGTTAAGTGATTTATTTACTTGAATTAAAATAAAATGAAAGTTGGTATGGCTGTCTAAAAAAAAGTGTGAGACACATGTGATACAAGTGATTGTATTTTGCTCATAGATTGCACCGCTAAGTCTAATGCTCTCATTTCGCAACATTTCATCTTGCAAAATAAAATGTCACCTCTACTATTCGTATCATTAATAACTATTATTATCACCTGTTTTTGTGGTTGAATTTATTCTATCATTTTTTTTTTTTTTTTCCATCTCTTATAAAATGTAGATTCACACCCTATGGACAATGAACTAAGAATCAGCTTCGCCTCGTCAATCAAACGCATAGAGTAACAAAATCATGGTAACTTATTTTGTTTATGATCACATTGCAGGGTAAGGCAGCCACACCAACCATGCATCCTAACTGACTAGGATTAATCTGCAATTATAAGGTGGCCCTGTATTATTTGAATGAGATAATTAGGGAAAACCTCGTCTCATGTTCAAGTAATATAGGTAACGTTTATAAAGAGCGGAAGGCTTGTGCATGGTTGTTGTGGCTTATCTTCTTACTGTCCTAACCCCTTCAATTCAGTGCTGTCCCCTTTTTCACATGCCTAATTTTCTTTACATAGAAATAGAATTTGAGAATTTTTTCCTTTACTAAAATTATGAAACAGAGCTATTTGATAAGCAACTGAGTCTTGTAATAAGATGTTACAATATGAACTGCACAATGTTTCATCCACTTTGTAAAAATCTATTGTACTATTATTTTCATTTAAATTTCACTATTCATCCTCTAAAAGATGACAAGACTGATATTGATAGTAGTTATTAGGAGGCCATGGATTTTTATTAAACCCATCTCAGATTCATAATGTTTGACTTTCGATAATCAAGGTGGATAAAATTGTTTTATTAACTTATAAGATTAGTTCCTATCATGGCCTCTTTCTCACTCTTGAAGAAAATCTTATTCTATTCTCTTGTACTATATTTACTAAGTTGTTCTTTGTAATTCTTTTCTGACAATAAAATATTCACGTATTACTTGTAATAGTTAATAATTTACTTGCTCTCAATATTACTTCTTTAATGGAAGTTCATGTTTATTCTAACATATAAGTGAACGTTTGTTCAAGATGTGGTCACATGAGAATTAAGATTCTGTGCAGTCCATGACCCGTTTGTTTGGGTGCTGTGTCCCCATTTACATTGGAGAAACCATGGAAAACTACCAATGAGAGCAGCCAGTCAGTTCTCGTGAGGATTTCTCCAGAGAGCATCTGAATTCGACCTAGATATGTGGCTAGTGTCAAAAATCCTTCCCTCATTGGGACTCAAACCCTAGGACCTCTTGTTCTGATTTACTGCAGTGAAAATTTTGAAAATGTTAATGAAGTTTCATGTAAAGTACTTTCCAAAATCAAAATAACCGTTTCAAACTCGCAGGACCTTGAGTTTGTTCTCGTCAATGAAGGGTACTTTACTTTTCATTAAAATTGCTGATTTATTGAAATTGGAAAAGTTAAAAAGAAATTGTTTGGCAAGGTCAACTACAACATTAAAGTGAGAGATTTTTTCTTCGTGAAATCTGTTCTTACAAGGCAGATCTTTAATTAAAGACGTATACAATCTTTCGAAAGTATGAGCAGGTTTCTCGTAATATGGAGTGAAATGTAGGCAATTTTTTAACAATTATTTTCTCCAAAATTGCTCCAATTTTCTTCTTTAAGTTCTCTCCTTAAATGTATCAAAGGTCATTATAAAATTTGGTGCTGGTCCCATTTTCGGTGAACTCTATTATAGAAACGTGCAAAAAGTTAAATTGCAAAAGTAGAATATTAAATACAGAATTTTTTTCTTAATATCTGTGGTAAATCATTTGGTTTTTTGGAAAGGTCATGTTAACTTCTTTGAAAGACATGAATAATTTATAATTGAATTTAGTGCGAAAAAATGCCTCCAAATTTCCTCTTAATTTTTTTCCCTAGAGAAAACATTGGTTGCTTAAAAGAATGGTGTCGGTCCCATTTTTGTTAAAACCTCTGAATTTTAAAAAGGAAACTGCTGTTGTAACATCACTAGTTTTTCTAATTTTTTCTTGACTCTGATATCTTACGAATGTTTTGTCACATCGCTTCTTATAGAATGATGACAATCTGAATTCATTATATCCTTCACATAAAGCATTCATTGCGTCCACTTGTGTAGGCCGTCTTTAAGTAGATTAGTGTCGCAAGTTGTTTCACCACGTTGCGGAGTCCTGAATGGCAATGGAGTATTTCCGAGCAGTGTGTTGACGATGAAAATTAAGTGTAAAGATTTTGTAGCACAAAGTAAATTGTTGCAGTTGAAACTCACTGGACAGCATGTTCCCCAAATAAATTGGGTGAGTGCCTAGCACGTGGTTCTTACTCAGCATACTTGTTTAGTTCTTTTATCTTAGCATGTAATCGTGAGTATCGTCCTGACATGTTTGCTATATACGTTGTCGTAAGGCTGACGTCAACATTTCAGGAAATCTGTTTCTGGTTTCTAAGACCTGGATCATAACCCTCGTAAGATGTTTTGGTTTCGACCACGAATAGGTAAGATGTTCTGGTTTCGAAACTACAAAAATTTCTTTTGGAACAACGTCTATCACGTATCTTACTATGAGAGTAAGTTGATCTAACATCTAACAATTGGTCACATCCGGAATCAACAGAAATAGCTTTGTATTTTGTTTATTTTCTTGCGTAATATTGCTTACGCAGTATAAGGAAAGAACACTGCAGAAAAAACTGCGATTTTGCTACAAAAAACAAGATTCCTTTTGCCCCCCTTCCGGTGAACGTAAAACGTGGGTAAATCTTGTTCCTTTCGTAAATTACTTCGTATAACACGTATAGTTAGAATCTATTTTGTGTGTCCTTGACATAGAAACATAGGTTGATGGCAAAACATGTCTCGATCTAAATTGTTCAGACGATTTTCTCAAAATTTGTTTTTCTCTGATCGATTTAATGCAACCTAAGGGCAGCTAATTTCGAAACGGATATTTTGATGGGGCTCTTTTTACGAAACGTTTTCCTCGGAAAGCGTAAAAGACCCTTTATGAAAAGCCGTGGAATTACACTGGTTTACAAAACAAACCTTTTTTCTGCAACAAGAACAAAACATGTTTCTAGAAGATAATTTGCCCCTGAATTCAGATCTAATTTCAGAATTTATGTATCGGCCTCAGTTTTCATGTAATGATCGTTTTTGTAAATGAGTATGTTTCCATGTTACAAATTTTCACCGAGAAGGTTTATGTGCAGTTAACTTTGTTATAACTCCACTACATGGTACCGTAGAACAAAATTGCGCAATTTCCAAACTGCGCTTAATTTGCGGTCTTCATTTTTGCTTGTTTGTGCAGCGTGACGCAGGGCAAAACCCAGGAGAACCGAACGCACGCGAGAGAGACAGGGACGGCGAGAGATGATAGAGACATACGCACAGAGAGAGACTGCGCGCGTAAGACAGAGTGAGAAAGAGACAAAACGAGATTGAGTGACAAACTGAGAGACAGACAGGTAGAGAGAGACGGAGACAGTAAGACAGAGGTAGACAGAAGCTGACATAGACAGGCAAAAAAAGAGATATAGATGGAGAGAGTCAAGAGACTGAGACAGACAGACATAAAGATACAGATATAGAGAGACAGAGCCACAGGGATTTAGACAGATATATAGAGGGACATATTCAGAAAGAGACAAAACAGTGAGAAACGGATGCAGATAGAGACGATATAGAGAAAGACAGATTCAGAGAGAGACAGATACGGAGAGGGAGACAGATTCCGCCGGGCAACGCTGGGTATTTTGCTAGTTTCTTTATAAAATTTGTTTCTTAAAGACAACTCGATATAAGGTCATTTACAATTTTTCGAAAATATGAGTAGTTTTTGCGTGAAAAGGCAATTTCTAAACATTTATTTTCTCATAAACGGCTCGAATGTTTACTTAAGTAAATTTCTCACTACTCTTATGCAGAGTAGATAAAGAATTGTAATGCTAGAGGGGGTCGGCAAACTTTCGACAGAAAACCTTATTGCCGGGCCCTGGTAACGAAAATGTTGATAAATCTTACAGTGAATTACTTGTAACTTTGCTCTCTGAAAACACTTGCAGTAAGTAGTAAGTAAGTAGAAGTAAAATATAGTAAAGCGTTTAGGGAGAAAGTAGGTGCTGCTGTAGCACCACTAATTTTAAAACGAAATTGTTCTCAGAATAACTTTTCATTGTTGGGGGTGAATGAAACGGTGTATTGATTAAGTTTTAGGAAGTACGATTTGCTATGATTGGTAATGAGTGTGACAAGTGATGTCTGACACGTGATAATGTAGTCCAAAAATGCTGTCGTAGCGCTCCTACAAAAGTTTAAATTGTGATGGAAAGAAACAACTGTGTTGGAGAAATATGAACAAACTGCACTGTCTGCGGGATTAGATGTTTTGGGGGTCTTGTTAGGAAGATCATCAATGTTCTCATTTCTACAGTCTTCTCATCTCTTCGATGTAGGCCAAATGATCTAGACGAATAATAAATTCATGGCTTCGTCATCCATGATTTTATTTTACCGCCCCTAAAAACTGGGGGGATTTAGTTGACGACAACAGTAGTTTATAGGTTTAGATGTAGTACACATAGTCAGTAAAGAAGTACATTGTGTTAGTAGATGAAAAAAAAATTGTTACCGCTTTTTATAAGTAAGTCTATTCAAAATGAAGGGGGCAAAGGTCACCAATTACAACTGCTTGGCCACCTTGGCGTCAGTAATCCGTAAAAAATATATTTCGTCAAAACCGCAGCTATATTCATCTACGCCCACCACGGCCCTCTCATCGCATGAGAACTTCAAATGTATACTATGGTTCTGCCACACCGTTGCTGGCCTCTGGCTGAATATATTTGGAACCTGACTCTTTGTTAGATAAGAAGCTAAGTTTCGTATCTTCAAATACCAAGATACCTTCCTCGAGCGCGCATTAGCAAGGGGAGCGCTGCGTGACCTTTGTGGCGGACTGATACATTCAAAATATCCGCTAACCCTTAACTGCTCTAGTGAAAAAGAACTGCTCTCCTTAACTGTGGGGTCCGGGTAGATCACCGTTTTATAAAATGTAATTTCATTGAGAACTTGAAATTTTATTTACAAAATATCACATACTACGTGACTCCCAAAATTATTCGGGCATTAATTAATTTAACCAAAAATTGCTTAAATTTTCCTCAGAAAACCACATAAGCATTAGTTTGATTAAATGAAAAATGGCGATGCAGAGACTTCCCTTCAACAAAACTATTCGGACAGCCGTTGAGGCAATGTTGTAACGGATCTTTTGATCTCCAAAAACGGCGTTGAAGCCTTCAACCCTTACTGCATATTCAATGCATGTCATACGATGCATTCGTACTGCATGTCAGTGGATGAGCCGAAGTCGTGGGAACCTTAACATTTAAGTGAAATGAGACTCAGAGGAAAGAACACAGAACTTTTGAGCTGAATTTAAGTCATTTAACATCAAACAAAGGGCATCTCACGGTACATCAATGAAGAGACCATTGAGCTGCAACCTGGAGGGGGCCCAAAGACATTCTGATCGAGAAGAGAATCTCATAGTGAGGATCCTCGTGGTAGTGCACCGAAGCTGTGCGAAGGGTACTAAGGATATCCACGTTGCGAAGGGAAAGTAATTTACAAGTAAAGCGAGCCGACGGAAACTGTAGGCGTTTGCTAAATACGCGAAGAAAATAACGACGATTGCTGGAATAGCGTAATCTTCGTTGACAAATCGAAAATGAACATCTGTGGATCCGATGGAAGAATTTGAGTGTGGAGGAGACTCAATCAAGAGCTGAAAGGAAGCAACAATGAAGCACGGAGGAGGATGTGTAGTGGTGTGGTGCTGCATGTCAGTCAATGGTGGCGGTTCGTAGAGCAAATGATGAACAGAGTAAACTACCTTGGCGCTCTTAAACAAAAATTTAAAGCAAAGTGTTGATGATTTTATTTTTATCAGTATAATGATCCCTAGCACTAGTAGCAGATTGTTCAACTTTGGTTGCTGTATAACTGTCAAAGGTACTTCATCTACCCGCTCTATTACCAGGCCTCACTGTTAGAGAACATCTTTTGGAAAAAATGGGAAAGGAGATAAGAAAACACCCAATCTATACCAAACAAGAAGTAAAGAAAATAATGCAACATCAATAGGGAAAATTCTACTTCTTGTATCAAAAAACGTGGTACAAAGTATCTCAAATGTACTGAAGGAAGTGCTGCAGGAAAAGAGGATGGCTATGTGATGATGAACTCTCTTACTGTATTTATTTTTACGTGTTTTTTTCTGTTTGAACATTATTTACTGTGCATATTTGATTACATTTCTATTGAAGTGTCCGAATAGTTTTGTGAGTTGACTTTTCAGCATTAGAAATTTAAATTAAAACTGTTATTGTGATTTTAAAGAAACTTTTTAGATTTTAAACTGATTATTGTGATTTTAAAGAATCTCGTCTAAATACCGTATAACTACTTATGAAAGTAATCTTATAATATACTTTATTAGATTTATTTTCTTCTTTTACTATTCCTAATCCACGACTATTCTGCAAAATTTGGCGTGTACGCATAGTTTTATGAGTCACTGTATATGATCACTTGCATTATAATGGGTAGTATCTGTTACATTTAAATACAATTTTCACAAGTAAATTTTGCATGCCTTCTGCAAATATGTTTGGCGCAGTTAATGCATACAATTCTTGTTTTCCTCTCTGCTGTTCTCGGACATACATCATACAAGGGTTTTCGTGCTTGAGTGAGTATCTGCAGGGTTTTTTTCAAGCGATTTACCTGCTAATTTCAGTATTTTTCATATTTCACATGGCAAAGGGCGGACATCACGACGTGAAATGCGTGGCTGCACAAGTGCCCAAGTTCCATCAACGTTTTTCCACTTGATTCTTTTTCAGAATTTTTATTGCAGTACTTGAGAATGCTAGTATTTACACATTTTATGTTAAGAACTACATAAAATATCCCCATTGGCCAGCAACAACAAGTGGAACAACTTTTTGGTCATGCATTGTCGATAATAGAGCAGTTTTATCCCCCAGGAAAAAACACATAAATAAGACACAGAAGTGAAATAACTTAAATATTGAAATTTACTGACACCTTGCCTGGCGGGGTCCACACACACACACATGAACAATGAAATATAATTACGTTGTTATTTTAGACAAAAATCACGCACGATTATCTGCTGGTAATCTTGCTTCTGGACGTAATTGTAGCTTCACTATGCACACATTTTGTTGAACTCTCCTTTTGCTTGTAATGGTGAGAGTAGAGGTAAGGGTGAGTAGCTATTTTTGTAGCAATTCAGAAAAGTCATACTTGCAATTCGTGTACCGATGCAAATAAGTTTTCTATAACTCTGAAACGAAAATGACTATTCAAATATTGCTAATCTTGCGATTTTTAAAATTTATTTATATTTATTTATGTTAAACTTTTACTCATCTTTGAACTATTTTTAGTCAAAATGACTTGAAGGGATTCTGGGACTCAAGCTGCGCAGATAATCTTTTCCCCCCTACGTCACATACAGTTTTTATTGTTTTTTGACTCAATAAATTTAATCTAAAGTAATCTAATTTTACCTAATCTAAAGAACCTCAACCCAATATATCGCTGCTTTCAGTTACTAACTTGTGTTATTAACTTGCCTGGAGTCCTGGGAACCACACCAGATCAGTTAAGGGTTAAACACGAATTCGAATCAAGTCAAAATTACTCAAACAAATTCTTACCTAACATATAACAATATGTATTTCATTGGATTTGTGTTTTAACGCTCGTCATGATAGAGTGAAAAAATATGTATAGTTGTATTCGAAAAAACAAAATTACCTCAAATATCTCGTAAAATTCAAGAGATGAAATAGAAATGAGTACACGGATCAATTAGCTTCATTCCCTCATGCACGTCTGTGAAAACTGCATTGCAATAACTTCAAAAGCTACTGGAGATGCCAAGATACGCGACTCACTATATATATTAATATTGTACATCCTGGCTTGATTGGGGATTGACAACAAGTGACTCTCCAGTGAATAGACACCCCTTTTGTGTTTCGCGATACGCTAATCAAAACAAAATTTCATTTCATCATCTGGAACTGCTGTTGCTTTACCGCAAGCAGCAGCTTTAAACCTGGTAATTCGCACAGTCACCGTTTGAAAACCATCCTATGACGGAAACTATTCGAGTCAGAGAAAATCTAAACATAATTGGAAACGGTGCGTGACACTTAGTAGGTCTCGCTATGACTCTCTCACTCAGCGAGAATTTTTGTTTCTGATTATTTTTCATTGTTCACTGGGTATGTCCTTATTTTGAGGAATTATTTGCACATTCGCAATATTAAAACCATAACCTCACCACAAAATTGATACGCCCTAGAGAAACTATAAGTGCCATATTTGGAATCAGAGGGTAATGTACTAAATTATACATAATTGTATTTCTGATGATTTTTCATCTTTATAAAAATCATCGATAAGTATAATTAATGACAAAGCTTCTGAAATGTTATGCATTCTGGAGTTTTTAAAATAATTAAATTAAATCAGAGACATTTCTTGAAAACAATAAAAATTGCTTTTAACCCAATCAAATGCTCCATGCGTGCTTCTCATGAGTTCTTATGCTACAGTCGACTTATCACAACGTCCGGTCTTTCATTAATATCAGTTTGTTTGTGACCTAGCCATTTCAATATCTCGATTCTCCAAAACATTTGATTGGTCTTGAGCGCTGGTCGGGGTAGCGATTGGTCGCAGCCTGCAGTACGGTTGGCAACTGCCCAAAAGAGGCGAGGGGCAATAGATGTGCTTCGCTCGGTGACGGACCGCTGCGCGCCCAGACTGTCGCTTGACTTCGTTGTGTGAGGACGCCATCATTCACTTGGAGCTATGACAGTCTCGAAGTCCCTTGCCCTGCTCGGGCTTTTTTGTTTCCTTGGAGTTGTTTACGGTGAAGTCGTAACGTTTCAAGCATGTCCTGACGGTAAGTACCTATCGGTAAAGGAATAAAGCGAATTTTATCATTATGAGTGATGTTTTGGTATTGCATTATTTTGTTTTGGTATTGCATTATTTTGTTTATTACTGAATTATTGTTGTTAGTTTAAAATTTGTAGATATTTTTCAGAGTAGATATTTTGCGATGTATCTGATATATATTTTTGTAGAAATTTGAGACTAGTTGTGACGTAGAACAACAATTTATCACAGATTGTTGTTTTCTCTTATTTTTCATATTAATAATATATTTATCGTAAAAGTGTTAAGAATCTGTGTGACATGGACAGGAATAATCTGTGCCTGAACATAATGTTGGCGGTACTGAGATGACGGTTGCGCGGATTAAATTACAAACATAGACATCCAACATTTCCGTATTCATACTGAAATTATCGATAAATAAAAACTATGCGAGTTTTTAAAAAGCTCAGGTTGGATGGCTTGGTCAGAAGGTGGGGAGCTGACTCTACTCTTCCAGAATTTTGCACCACATATCTTTCTCATTGGTGTTTATCAATTAGATGTACAGAACCAACTTTTGTATGCTTCACATGCGAATTAGACATACTCGCTTCTTAGCTACAACATTCACTCTACAATAACAACCAGTATAATCAGTTAAGAGAGTTGCGTACTTTATATTTCCTATCTCCATACCTAGCATACATGCCCTTCCTGATCTTTTTTTCGTCACAGAGCTATAAAAACTGAGACGATTTGTATTAGATAGCTACAGCTTCATTTTCGCCCTGATCGGCAATCGAAACTGTGTGTGGTTGCGTGTAGTTGTGTGTGGTTGCGTGTGTGGTTGCGTGTGTGGTTGCGTGTGTGGTTGCGTGTGTGGTTGCGTGTGTGGTTGCGCGCGTGGTTGCGCGCGTGGTTGCGCGCGTGGTTGCGCGCGTGGTTGCGCGCGTGGTTGCGCGTGTGGTTGCGCGTGTGGTTGCGCGGTAGATTATATTAAATGACATGTACATAACTTGATATCGACCTTCAGTTTGCTTCTCTAGGATTTTGATGTTCATTTGTTTTTTTGTTTTTTTTTTGTTTTTTTTTTTCGTGTTTTCTCTGTATGGTCTATGGTTGAATTCTGATATATTTGTGTGGAACATATTGGAGCTTGTAAACGCTGCAAGTTTTCGGATTTACGTCTGAGGGTACAAGGCATTGTGAATGGTCTTACCTAATAATTCATTTCTAGGTTTTGCAACGACGTAGTCGTTTGTTTGCATTGGAAATGACGCTCATTCGTTATCGTAACGAATCGATTTGGACGTTGCGTCATAGGCGACGAAAGCGAAGAACGAGAGACGAGGACATTTCGTTTCAAACTCCAATGAAAGCTGCGTTTCAATAATTTCTAAAAAGGTGTTGGAATGGAGTCTAGGGACAGGATCAAGGATGTAACAAAAATTTTTTGCTTACTATATGGACATACTTTCCTACAGGGGTAGACTCAAAGATCGCTTTGATCTAAGGCCGGAGCATCTTCTCGTATTGCGACACGCGTAGCGATTGGTCAATGCAAGGTTAGAATTGTTCCTCAGAAAAAGTATATTCTTCTTGAAAGAGTGAAGTTACCGGGCGCATTTGAGGTTACGACACCTATAGGTTTAGGTGGCTTAGGGCAACTCATGTCACTGCAGTGCCTCAGACTGCGAGCTCCTAGTTTTATACTTTCATTTTCTATAGAGGTTGATGACCTTGGGTTATTGTTACCTCCTGCCTTATAAAATGAATCTGTTTAATTAATTCGTGATCGTACTATTTCTCAGCAGGGCTCATGACCTCAGAAATGTGCTTACCACTGTTAAAAGGATTTATTTTATTAGGCAGGAGGTGTATCAATGATCTAATGTCATTGCTCACTATAGAAAAATCTAAGCACAGTGTCTCGAGTGTGGAAGGATTTTCGACACATACATAACTACATAGCTAGGTCGCATTCAGTGGCTGAGTGGAGGAGGACTCAAGCGGCCAGATGCTGTGATCGGTAGTTTCCCGCGATGTCTCCGATCTACATCAGGTGAATGCAGGAGCAGCACATACCCAACCAAGCGGGCCACGGACCGTGCACGATCTGTCCTTGGACCTGTTCTACCCTTACCCACACGTACACGTACTGCACCACCACACACGCCGGGAGGCCAGTGGGATGCCTAGAGCTTCGCCCGGTTGGGGCGGGGCACCGCCTAGGGAGATACCTGGTTGAGGGAAACCCCGCTAACCGACTACATCGGAGCCGGATCTTCAGAAAAGGGCAAAAGATCCGTCGCCTACGATGTGAGCAATCGGTCATTCTCAATCGAGGCGGTGTTAATCTGGCGCTGCTGCACTGGCGCCAGCGCGTCCTCGGGTTGTCTTGTCGTTTGCGAAAGCCGCCCGTTATCGCCGCCCGTTTGCTCCCTGGACACATCAAAGCCCGAGTGAGTAGGCTCGCCAAGCGGCTGAGCCACTGCCCAAGAGCCTCAGTGGCGTGGTGAAGGCTCAGTTTGGGTAAGCGGTACAATATAAATGGCCGGTGAGGCGTTCATTAGTTTCAAAAATTTGGCTATTAAATTTCCATTCACACGTTTTTGAAGTAGTGGTTATAGTAATGTCCGGCGTTTGCCTTTCTGCCTTCATGTTTTCTTATCTTCAAAATTCTGCAAAACAAAAATCATCAATAAATCACAAATCACGCTCGTGTGTCCTTCCACGCCGATGCCTGCAGTAGCAAGATTTGCATCACGATATTGCAATTACCCAGGATTTCATTGTCTTGACAAATCGATTATCCGGGGTCTGTTTCGTAATGGGTAGAGGTAGACATTCTGGAGCTTAAGAAAACATGTGCTGCCTCCCCCCCCCCTAGTAGTGTAAATGAAATTAAATGAGTGGGGACCCGCTTGCAAAATCTTTATCGGGGCCCCTTCATGAAACTGTATAGCAAACAAAAGTCGTATTTGTAATTTAAACAACAAAAAGTCTCCAAAACGAGGCCATCTTCTCCCGGGCTGGGCCGCAAGCTACGCCACTGCTTCTCCCATCTTCTACGTCACATACGGAACGCTAGCGGTCGCAATCGCACTTATTGCGTACCCTAGCGTATAACTCGTGGTAGATTCACAATACATTAAATTCTTAATTATCACGTATCAAAAGCATTAACATGTACTACACCTAAAATTATGCACTTCAATGTACATACACCTATAAGCATTTACCATTAAAACCAAGATTTTTGTTCTAAGACATTCTTTCAAGCCGCAACTCGAGCGTACACACGTGCATACATACCTACACGCGGCCATTCTATAACTGCTATGACAGCACGCATTCAATGAATTCCAATTACGTTATAAATAAAAAACAATAATTTTCTGTTACAAAATGTTTTTTTCTACGTTACAGGGTACGCAGAGCGTATCTTGCGTCCATGGACACGCGATTCATTGCCTTTTCATTCACGACCTGCGGTACCCACAAAATAGGCGTGCGAAGCCTTGAACCGGAGGCGGGGCTACTACATTTTTGTATCCCTCTGGGCCCCGTCACTCCTCTTTTCGTCAATCTTTTTTATTAACATGTGTCCCATTTTACCAAGCTATCCGCATAAAAAGAGGAATCCCATTTTAAATTTTGCCCATACTTCACGGATAGAAATTAAAAAAAAACTATTTTTTCGGAATCACGGGTCTTCAAAGTGTGTATTTTCTTTGAAATCTCACAATCTATTTTATATAGTAGGTATAATATAAAGAAATATAATTAATATAACATTCACCATACAACGTATTCTACTTTGTATTAGAGATGCCACCTATTGACACATCACATACTCACCCTTTCATGAGCGGCGGCGGGGGGCACAGCTCTCTACGGCGTTATGTTTTAATCCTCATCACATTTACACTTTTTTTAAATTGTACATCATATGACACTCTTCCTTAAATTTTAATTTAGTGAATCCAAATACATTTGTATATCAAACGAATCTATTAAACAAAGTTAATAAATGATTACATTAAAAATAGAATCTCTATATTACTTTTCTGTAATATTTATTTTTAAAATAACTTTTCTTCCATGTATATTTCTCATTTGAAACGGCTTTCTTTAGTAAGCATTATTGTTTATGAATTTGTGAAATTCGGCGCAAGACATATCATAGTTTAGTTTTGTAAAATGTTTGCTTTGACTAATTCGACTCTCATCCTGTTTCTCAAATCTGACCAAATGTTTTCCATAATTCAGAAAATCCGTTCTCCGTAAGCATTACTTACGGGAATGGACAAAACCCTGCTAACAATTTTGGGTAGTTCTTTAAGAAAATCTGAAGCAGAAAAAATTTTGACCCATACAATGTCTGTCGTGTAGTCTTAAATTTCTATTCTGGAAAGAGTTTGTGATACTGCTTGTATTTCATCGTACAAATTATCTTCGTTAACATTTGCATTTACTATTCCCGCAACTTATTCAAATTTGTCGAAGCAAATCTCTTAACTTTTCTTCAAATTGAGAATATTAAAATACTGAAAGGGTCTGTGATCGTAATTGTACAATTTTTTTTTAGATAATCAGTTGCTTTAGCATCTTCTTCTTGCCTTAGTATCAATTGCCTTTGTTGCTTCTTTTTCGAATTTTAATTTATCGTTTTTGTCAAATTTACATTTGAACGCGTAGTACATCCAAAATTGTGCATGGCCCGGAAATGAAAGTAGTAAACCCGGAGCCCGGAGATTGGTCACGAAACCCGAAGTCTCAGAGTGAAACCCGAAGAGGTGGCAACTTTACTCTGTATGTATATACATATTCGAGAAAGTAAATTTGGGTAATAAATTATTTTAATTCTATCAGGAAGTAATTAAAGAAAGTAAGGAAGTAAAAGTATCAAAATAAGTGTTAGCGTTTTGGGAAGTGCAGTGAAAATATTTGGAAAGTGTTGAAATGTTGTGATGTTCCTGATATGTCAGCCTATGCGAGCATAAATATTTTAAGAACGAT